AGTGTTAAAAAAAGCCCCTGTTTCCCCATGAGGACTTGGGGGTTAATTTTCAGCATGGTGCTGGGGATTTAGCTGTGGGACTCCCATTACCCATAATGGCAGTCATGCTGCTTCATTTCATGCACGCTACATGGAAAACGCACCCCTCCATGGCTACAAAATTTTAGTTTTGAAATTGAGGCCATCTTTCGCAGAACGAAGCGGATTTCCAGAAACACCAAAAACTTTTCGATGTTGGCCTGGGGCCTGTGAGTTTGTGCTTATGTGGGTATGTGTATCTGAAAGGGAGAAAATGCCTTTCTCTAAGCGCATATGCCCCTTTCAAAGACAACAACATTAAAACATTATGCCCAATAGCTGATAGCAATGGTTGCTATGTTTCACCCCAAAGCTTTGTTAGGAACCCCATAAAACCTGGCACATGGTTTGTGACACCCAGTGAAACACTGTGCTTCTTCCATAATAACCTGAGCCCTGCTGCCTGTCATTAAGGGACCTCTCTTATTAAGCATCTCTTTTTTAAATGGCTGCCATCATCTGGTCCCAGTGTACATTAAATCCCATTATAATTATAAACACACTTCCCCATAACATCCGTTGCAGATCTCATCCACACTGCCTACCCCCTTAGGGCATCTTTGCACTAATAACAACTCAGATTTGCTATCTGAGTTGACAACATTAGGTCTCAACACCATTTGCAATATGCTGGGGAGATAGAGAGCAAGAAAGAAGAAAAAGCTTTCTCTTCCTCCATCATGAAGATCTTGGGGTCACAGTGACCCAGGGGCCTCAAGGGCTAAAAAAAATTCCCCCTTCCTTCCCCTTTGAGAAGTCACTCTCTGCCCTACACATGAGAGGAAGGACTTACTTGGCACCTGCAAGAGAAGCTCAAGTTTGTAAACACCACTAACTAGGTCTCTGCAGGGGAAAGGGGAATGATGGCAACTGCTAATCAAAGAAGCCATCTTTTTCTTTGGTTTTCTGGGCCTCAACTAACCAGTACACATATATCATCTGATTATTTCCCACTCTGCTTTTTTGGTGGCGGGTGGGGGGGCATCCAAGGAAGTGCTGTGAAAGAATTAAACTTTAAAAAAAAGTCAACATATGCATACCCCACCATATGCAGGGGTAAATTCTACTCTTCGTAATTGTTCATATTACCTGCATCTATAGAGTAATGTCTGGAATGAAGGATTGTAAGATTGTAAAATCCTGTGACTCCAGATAAGGACTCACTAGGTGTGCTGTGTCTTTCCCTGTGGGCAAAGATCTGGTGCCCTGGTGCATCCCCCAGTAGCAACCCAGAGTTCTCAACTGCGCCGGGGACTCCTCCTTTCCACTCATGGGCTTCACCACCTGCATCCCTCCCTGAACATGCCTCATTCTCTACTCTTTGCAAGGTTTTAGGAAAATGCAAAGTAGCTGCAAAAGGTAGGGATCCTTGACTTATTTGTCATGATAGGAAAGTTTACTTTTAAAGTTTAGAATTTTAAACATATTTTCCAAATGAGGAGTTGGAACAAAAAGAGTTGCAACATTCCATTCACACTCAATCAGAATACTCCAAACATCACTATATCCTTCTTCCTGAGTGTCTGTTTAGTTGAAGTTTTATTGTCATTCACAACTCCCTTCCCAACTTCTGCCTGAGATTCTGGGGAAGGAGGGAAAGTGTAGAGATGCCGGGGGATCTAGGTCTGTTTACCTGGTGGTCAAGTGGAGAATGTTTGGTCCTCAGTTTGGCTGGCTGCCGCTTAGCCCTTGGCCTCAGTGGAGTAAGAGGAGAAGGAAAATTAAAAGTCCTTGTTTTTTGGTCTAGCTCACTAGAGACCGTATAATCTAGAAGTAGAGAGCATGAGCTTTGCAGTTAGATGGTCTGACTTAAAAAGTCTGAGCCCTGATGTTAAATAGATCTATCATCTTGAGTAAGGTACTTAATCTCTCTGAGCCTCGGTTTTCATGTTTGCAGAAATGGGGAAAATAACAGCACCTGCATTAATAGCACTGTTATGAGGATTAAATAAAACAATCCAGGTAATGTGTTAAGATGCATAGACTGTGCTCAGATTGAGTTGGTACTTAGTTAAAGGAGGAGATGAGGGAATAAGAAGATTTAGCAATGGGGGCCCGGGTGTGATGGCTCACACCTGTAATCCTAGCTCTCTGGGAGGCCGAGGCGGGCGGATCCTTTGAGCTCAGGAGTTCGAAACCAGTCTGAGCAAGAGCGAGACCCCGTCTCTACTAAAAATAGAAAGAAATTAATCAGACAACTAAAAATATATAGAAAAAATTAGCCGGGCATGGTGGCACATGCCTGTAGTCCCAGCTACTCGGGAGGCTGAGGCAGGAGGATCGCTTGAGCCCAGGAGTTTGAGGCTGCAGTGAGCTAGGATGACGCCACAGCACTCAAGCCCGGGCAACACAGTAAGACCCTGTCTCAAAAAAGAAGAAGAAGATTTAGCAATGGAATTCCATCCAAAAGCCAACACATCAATTCCCCTGTCTCTAGCACGAACTCCCCCTAAGATTGAGGTCTCTTGTATTTTTAGGAGAACTGGTACTAGTCTCCCTTACCAGACCTTTCAGGAAAAAAAGTAAAAGAAAAATCACTATAAACACATGAACATATGAGAGAGAAAGAGAAAGAGAGAGTCTTCTCTTGTAATTTTCCAACCTGTTTGTTTTTAGGTACTGCCATGTGAAATCTCTGAACTGGGGACTGTCATCAGCCTTTCCAGGACCCAAGGACATAGCTCTGGCTATAAATGGTGCCAGTTTTGGTGGGGGAGCTGCTGCTGCTTTATCTGGGCCCAATAAACCTTATCAAACTGCCGTGCAGCCAGCCTTCAGCGCTAAGTGGAAATGCTTGGAGCCCAACGCTGGCACTCAGCCCACAGTCTCGCCTGCCTTCTTCCTTTTTGTTACCTTCCCCACCTCTTAAATTCAGGCATTAATCTCTCTTTAACACTTACTAACAAGGGCTGGGCTTTTTAATGGGCAGAGTTTATGAAGCAAGGGAGATTTTCACATAGAGTGAATATGGAGTGGGGGTGGGGGAGGCCAGGACCATGGAGGATTGTTCTTTCTGTCCCATTGTTTCCAGAGATTCTCTTTTTCTCTGATTTGAGGATTAATAGGAGATTAGGATCAGGGGTTAATTGTGTGCTGCTTCTGCTACTGCACTGGTAGGTGGATGTGGACAGCTAGGCGGAAGCTGTCTAGGCAGAAGCTCAACAAGTTTAATGATTCTTTAGTCTATTTCCCTGGTGAGGCCTTAGGAGGGTCTTTTCTCCGCTCCTTATATCCCTCCACTCTTGCTATTTGTGCAGACCAGTTCTTTCATAACTTTTTTGAAATCCTTGTTTTCTTAGAGAGTGTACAGGCCTTAGGAAGAAAAATAGATAGTCTTTAAATAGGGATTGCTCTGTATTGTTAATCAAATGAATAACCAGGGACTGGCTTCCCCTCCCCTTCTCGGTTTGATATGGCTGTATCCACTGCTATCTGAGGATAACTGACCCCTTCCTTCACTTCGAAGTGTGCTCCCCTGCCCTGCCCTGTCTTCTCTCTGCAGACTCCTGCTGATGTGAGCACTTTCCCTGCTAGTAGGAGACTAGCAGTGACTCTTGCTGGGATGGAATGATCTGTCCTTAGGATACCCTGTTAGCAGCTTTTGTGTAGCCCGGTCAGTTCCTATGTGTAAACTCTGCTGCCTGGCCTTCAGCAGCCAGATGGGAGTTCTGCCACCGTCCACGACCCTACAGTTCTTGGGGCCTGACTGTCAGTTTGGGGCAGTGCCAGAGGTACGCATGGAGATGTGATTCTGTGCGGGTCCCGTGGGAAACCTTTGGACAGAACACGCAGACTCAGAGGCCTCCGCGACTGAAGGCCCGTGTTGCTACAACCGCATGACCTCCAGGCTGATCGTCCTGAGACCCCCCGGATGGCACTCTCCGTCATCCCCACCTCCCACCCCAACGCTCCTGGACTTGAGTCAGAGGCCACGGACAGTCCCCTGACGAGTGCTTCCCACCTCTTGTCCCTTACCTTTGCCTGGCTCCAAGGAAAAGGGAAGAGGGGAACTTTCTGCAGCCAGGGGAAGGGCAAATTTTCTTTGGTTGCTTTACCCCGGGTTACGGATCAAAACTCAACCCTCTGAGGTGGGGCGGCCAGCTGAGAGAAACACGCACTTTTGAGGGGCCCACAACTTTTCCAAGCTCCCCCTCCGCCCCTTGAGGGCTGTGCAGGGCTGGGTGTTCTTGGGAACTCTTTCTGTCCAGGTAGCTGGCGGGCAGATCCGAGGGGATGCCCAAGAGCAAAGTTTCTCTCAGGACTCGACCTTGGCCTCCAGCAATCACAACAGCTAAAACGGAGCGTCTCCCCTCGACAATAGATCTCCGCAGACCCTCTGGCACCTGGTTCGCCAGGGCCTTCGGGACTCCGCACCCCGAGACGTCTCGAAACGCTGGTGCTCAAGCCGGGAGGATGAAAGGCCTGGGCTTGGGCCGCGAAAGCGACCTTTTATAATAAAACCGATGTCGGCCAACTGGAGATGCAACCCTGAGTCCGGAGAAAAAGTGGAAGGCGAAATAACGTGCACTGAAATGGGGAAAAACATTGGAACCCGGGACAAAACTCTGCGTTTGGGACACGGGGGCACGGGACAAAACCCGCGTCCAGTAGAAATTAAAAATCTGGGAGTGCGGTGGGGGCTACTCCTCGCCCCTCGCCCTCAGGGCTCCCATTAAGGGCTCGGAGTCCCTTGCACCCCTCTCCACTCGCTCTGTCTTTCCTCTCCGCTCGGCCGCAGAGCGCGGCGGCCGGCGCCCCAGCAGCAGCTAGATGTCAGGCGAAGCCCGGAGCGCTGAGCGCGGGGACAGGAGGGGAGGGGAGAGGAAGGGAGGGGTGGGGCGGGGAGCGCGCGCGGGCTCGGCCAGTGCGGGGTGGTGGGCGGGCTGAGCCCGGGGACGGCGCGGGAGGGGGGAGGGAAGGGGGGCAGCTGTGGGCAGGGAGCCGGGCTCGGCCGCCAGCACTAAAGATGGAGAGGCGCCGGGGCCTCGCAGGGGAGGGGGCTCGGCGTTGACGTGGGACGCGGCGGAGGCGCAGCAGCCGGTGGTGATTTGCTAACCTCGCAGCAGAGAGGAGTTGAGGGCGATGAGAGCGGGTACTGCGAACTGCCCGGCGATGCCGCCGCTGCCGCCGTGATACGGAGAGCAACAGTTCCCCAGCAACACCCCTCCCCGACACAGGCACACACCCCCCAACAGGCACGCACACCCACCCCACAGTGCCCGGCTCGGCAGCGGTGAGTGGGGGGCCGGGGAAAGGCGCACCGCCCAGCGAGCGCCGCGCGCCGGGGCGCCCCGGGGCTGGAAAGGTCTGCTGAGCGCGCGCTCGCTTCGGCCACTCGGCCACTGGGCTTGTGCCTTATATCATTTGGCGTGTTCCCTTCTTGCTGCTGCAGCCGTCGTCGCTGCCGCCGGTTGCGGGGTCGCCTAGAAGGGGGAGCCCCGGCTGTCAGCTTGGGCACAGCTGCCTCCCCAGCCCTTCCTCTCCAAGGCACGGTCGGGGTGAGAGGTGGGGGGCAGAGCGGGCTGCTGGGGCTGAGGGCTCGAACCGAGGGTCGGAGATCGGGAGGCTTTGTACCGCCAGGGGCCGGTGGAAGAGCCTAGAGCCGGTGGGTGCTCATATGTATGCGGACCTGTGCGCGGGCGCGAGATAGGATTTTGGTTTATTTATTTGTGTGTTTATTCACCGGCCGGCTGGGAAGCTAGAATTGGAGGAGCTGACGAGTGGATCTGGGGGCGGAGGGGCACAGAGGCGCAGGACTGGGACTCGCTCGGGTTTTGTTTCTCTTTGAAAAAACGTGGTGGGCTCTTTTTTCTTGATTGGACTTGATCTCCTTTTTGGGGGGAGGGAGGGAAGCTCCGCAGGGTCTCCAGCGCTCCGGGCCCTCCTCGGCTCTCGGCGGGACCGGCTGTGGCGCCGGAGCTCGCGGTGCGCTCCGGCCGCGCTCGGTGGGTGCCCCGGCTCTGCACCTGATGCGTTCGGGATGCCTTTCCCACCCCGGCGCGCCCGCGGCTAGATCGCACAGCCCCTTGCACACTCCCGCACGCGCTCGAAATGCGCACGATTCCTCCGGCCCACGGACCCACTGGACACACAGACGCGCTCGGCACCGTCTCGCTCGCCACCTCCCCGGGACGATCGCAACGTGCCCGGGCCGGGCACGCCCGCCGCCGGCGCCGCTGGCCAGAGGCCCGGGACCCTGCCGGTCGCTCCCCGGTGGTCACGGCCCTCGGTCGAAAAGGGAGGGCCAGCCGACCCCTTCTCGTCTTTCCTGCCCTAACTCGCTGCGGGGCTTTTGTGCTTCCCCGTCGCCGCGGGGCGGGTCCGCCTCCTCGCCGCGGAGCCCTGCCCGCCCGGACTCTCGCCTGCTTCGGTCCCCGTCTCTTTCGCTTTCCCTCTTCCTTAGCCCGGCTGCCTTTCTTTCAGGAGTCTGGCTCCCCGGGAAAAGTTGCTTCCCCAAGTTTGCCGAAGTCGTCTCCAAGTCTCAGTGGGGGTCGCTGGGACGCGGGGGCGTGTGAGAGCGCGATCGATCCCCGGAGCCCGGGCGGGTTAGCGCCGGCTTTTCCCCCGCGCTGCCGGGCTGGACGCTGCAGCCAGCGCCGGCCGGATCGCGGGCGCCGAGCGGCGGGTGGGGAGACGGCTGACCGAGGGCATCCTGATTTCCCTCGGGACCCAGAAAGCTTGTTTGGGGGAAGGAATTCAGGTAGCCAAGCTTCCATTCTTTCGGCTGCTCCCTCCCGGTTCTCCGAAACCCCGATGTCTGCGGGAAAGCACACGGCGGCGAGGCGTGGCTGAATGGTCGTCCCACCTTTGACGGCCTCGGTCCCCAGCCCGGGGTGGGCAGCAGAGCGTCTCGACCAGCCGTCCTGTTAACCTTTTCTGCGTGAGGTCTGTAGCTCTGGAGCCTATAGGGCTCCTTTTCGGGGTAGAGCCAGCAGTGGTTGAGTGAGGGAGAGACCTTGCTATGCTCCCAGTTCATTCGCTGCAATATTGGCCGCAGCAGGGCAGAGGCTGGGAGGCTCCTGCGCCTGTGAGGTCTTTCTAAAACTCCTCGAATGGGGTTCGGGTCCAGGAGCCCATTGCTGATTCCGAACAGGCTCTGGGAGAGGCCTTTGTCTCCCAGCCCCAGTTTCCCTTCGCGCGGGTTGTAACTCACACCGTAGATGCTGGTGCCAATGTCACTTTTAGCACCTCTGAGCCGCGTCCAGCATCATTTGCTGCTCATGGTCACAGGACTTGCCCACTCCTTGGAACCTGTTGGACACACTTAGAGTTCATGTGCCCAGCCCTACAAGAGCACTCCTGGCTGTAGGGGAGCAGATTTCCTATGACCTCTCTCCATGACCCATCCTCCTTCATTTTTTTAGATCCTCCTGTCCACTGGTCACTGTGGGCAGAAGGGTAAGTGCAGCATCTTATATAAGCGTGTGCACGTGTGTTGACACATTCTGGCTGGTGTACACACACACACACACACACACACACACACACACAGGTCCAGATTTGGGATTACATATTCAGTAAATTTGAGGCACCTGTGGGTGGATTGGACCCAAGTTAGTGTGTGAGTTATGTGTGTGTGTTCCTGTTAGTGCCCAAGGAGGGGACAAGGCATGGGTCTGTCAGTGCTGTGCAGCCCTGAGAGGAGCAGAAGGACAGAGGCCCAGGCTGATGGTGAAGAGGGTGGCCCTGGAGGAGAAGAGCCCCTTGCTTGTAGATTTCTTTGGGTCATGGCTTCTGGCTGCTAGTCTCATCTGGGTTTGACTCTGCTCCTGGGCCACCACAGTGAGGCAGAGTTTAGGAAAACTTTGTTTTGAAGATGAGGTTTGCTGTCCAGGGGTTCAGAGCAAAGTTGACTAAAGGAAAGTGTTGAAGTCTTGTTAATTTTAAGAACGTGCTGGCACTGCTCATAATGAATGTTGGCCTTGCATAGGAAGCCCCTACTCTCAGACTTAGAGAAGGCTCTGGACTTAGAGGACTTGCTGTAATTTTCATTTCACTTTGTCCAACAGATGTCATAGAGTGGTGAATCAGGCAAATGCCAAGGCAGAACCTCCTCTTTACTCTCTTCATCCCCAGGCTTGTAAAGGCAGATGGGTAGATTTCTAGGAAGCCCCTTCCATTAAAATTTATGAGACCCTCTTGCTGGGGTCTCGGTGGCGGGGACTAGAGGGGCATATTGTAGTGTTTGAATTTTTACTTCTAGGGACACTAATGAATCTGCCTTTTGTTCTTTTGTCTCTTTCGCCTCTTCCCACCCTCTCTCCTCTAGCCCCCTTCCTTGGCCCAGAAAGCCCACCCTGCCCCACCACACAGAGCCCAGAAGGAAAGAGAGCCTGATGCCTGAGCCGAGGGGAGCACCATGGATCTGACGAAGATGGGCATGATCCAGCTGCAGAACCCCAGCCACCCCACGGGGCTGCTGTGCAAGGCCAACCAGATGCGACTGGCCGGGACTCTGTGCGACGTGGTCATCATGGTGGACAGCCAGGAGTTCCACGCCCACCGGACGGTGCTGGCCTGCACCAGCAAGATGTTTGAGATCCTCTTCCACCGCAACAGTCAGCACTATACTCTGGACTTCCTCTCGCCAAAGACCTTCCAGCAGATTCTGGAGTACGCGTACACGGCCACGCTGCAAGCCAAGGCAGAGGACCTGGATGACCTGCTGTATGCGGCCGAGATCCTGGAGATCGAATACCTGGAGGAGCAGTGCCTGAAGATCCTGGAGACCATCCAGGCCTCAGATGACAATGACACGGAGGCCACCATGGCCGATGGCGGGGCCGAGGAAGAAGAGGACCGCAAGGCCCGGTACCTCAAGAACATCTTCATCTCGAAGCATTCCAGCGAGGAGAGTGGGTATGCCAGTGTGGCTGGACAGAGCCTCCCTGGGCCCATGGTGGACCAGAGCCCTTCAGTCTCCACCTCATTCGGTCTTTCAGCCATGAGTCCCACCAAGGCTGCAGTGGACAGTTTGATGACCATAGGACAGTCTCTCCTGCAGGGAACTCTTCAGCCACCTGCAGGGCCCGAGGAGCCAACTCTGGCTGGGGGTGGGCGGCACCCTGGGGTAGCTGAAGTGAAGACAGAGATGATGCAGGTGGATGAGGTGCCCTGCCAGGACAGCCCTGGGGCAGCCGAGTCCAGCATCTCAGGAGGGATGGGGGACAAGGTTGAGGAAAGGGGCAAAGAGGGGCCCGGGACCCCTACTCGAAGCAGCGTCATCACCAGTGCTCGGGAGCTGCACTATGGGCGAGAGGAGAGTGCTGAGCAGCTGCCACCCCCAGCGGAGGCTGGCCAGGGCCCCACTGGCCGACCTGAGCACCCGGCACCCCCGGCTGAGAAACACCTGGGCATCTACTCTGTGTTGCCCAACCACAAGGCTGATGCCGTGTTGAGCATGCCGTCTTCGGTGTCCTCTGGCCTCCACGTCCAGCCTGCCTTGGCTGTCTCCATGGACTTCAGCACCTATGGGGGTCTGCTGCCCCAGGGCTTCATCCAGAGGGAGCTGTTCAGCAAGCTGGGCGAGCTGGCTGTGGGCATGAAGTCAGAGAGCCGGACCCTCGGGGAGCAGTGCAGCGTGTGTGGGGTCGAGCTTCCCGATAATGAGGCCGTGGAGCAGCACAGGTAGGCCCTGCCCCAGCCCCACACCTGACACCTTTCCTTCACACCCTGGCTGCTCCTGAGCCGGGGGCCTGGCTCTCCTGTCTTCCTTGCTGTTTGTAAACAAAAAAGCACTTCTGAAGTCCTTGTCAGGGGCGGGCAGGGGGCGGGGGGAGGGGAGAACATTTTTCAGAGTTTTTTCGGAGTATAGTCTTTCGGTCTTTCCAAAAAGCACTGGGGCCAGCTTCTTGATAGGCCCTTCCCTCTGTTTTTGGTGTTTGTTTTTTCTGCTGTTGGGTCTATGCTTCTTTGCCTGGTGTGATTGATAACATGGAGAGGAGGAAGTGGGGTTCAGGATGAGGGTCTCCCGTGGTCTGGATCTGGCCACATTCCCAGGTTCCAGGGCCCCAGGTTCCCACTTGCAAAGGCAGGCTGTCCCCATCTGCAGCTCAGGAGGGTGGGAGGGACTGGAGGCTGCTTAGGCCACGAGAGCAGCTGCAGGTTTCAGACGTCATTTTTGGTGAACGTTCATCTTGTGGCTCCCTCTCCCTTCTCACTCTCTGATCCTGCACATGCATTTGCAGGGAGCCGATTTAAATTCAAGGGGGAACGATGGGTATGAGAGTCTTGGTCTTGCAGCCTGTAAAGTCTCATTCTTATCCCATCTCCGATCACATTGAATTAGATGCTGCTTCGGGCTAGCATTGGCTTCCTCTGGCTTGCGTTTCCTCCTCTGTGAAATGACCATTCATTGAGCTCTTATGACATGCTTGGTTCAGTACTAATCTCTTTACACGGAGTTGCATTTTCATTTCAACAGCCCGATGAGGTGGGTAATGTCCTTTTACACAGGACGATACTAAGATCCAGCCAGATAGAAAGTCCCTTTTTTAGGGTCACATAGTAAGAGGCACAGTGGGATTCAAATTCAGGTCTTAACCCTCTTGGTACTTTGCTGCCTCTCCGAGTCACTTAGTCTTGAAGAGGATCATGTCTACAATACAGAGGGTTTTGAAGATGGCTTATCAGAAGCAGAGTAAATAACAGAGAGACTCAGTGGGGGGTTTGGGTTTTTTTTCCTGTTTCTGTCATTAACTATACGCCGGTCATTTTACCCTACAGTCCCCAAATCAGATGATTGGTGTCAAGAAATCCAGTTTTCTATTGTCGTCAATGACAGCATTTCCCTGCACACCCTCTGGCCTGCTGTTTTGCTGATCTTGGGCGGACTTTCCACTTTGGCGCCCGCTCCCACCCCCATTCTGCTGTCGCTCATTCGGGTTCAGGGGATGTGAGTGACAGAGGCTGGGGTGGGGTGGAGGCATCTGGAAATCAGGCTGTCACCCCTGGCCGGAACCTGCTATGACACAGACTGATCGGCAGCTCTGAGACTTACCTTGTGGAAAGTGCCGCAGAGCTAAATGCAGCCGATTTTTTTTTTTCCGGTGGGTGCGAAAAATAACCGCCACTAAGGTGTGTCGTCTTGATGTTTGTGCTGCTCAGAAATAGACCAAGGTTTTGTTTGTTTTTGCTCAAACTTTCCTAAAGAGGAAACCCCCTCCCCAAACTTGACCAGATAGATTTATCAACTTCTCCGGATGTGCACATGTTATGAGAAATAGGGTATGGTGAAAGTAATTTGTTTTTCTGGCTCTTGTTGGATCCCAGTTACTTTTCTTTACCCAAGAGGGCCACCAAGTATATCACGCCTTGGGAGTTTTAAGTTCCAATTCAATGAGAACCTCATTCCTCTGGGGAAGGATGGAGGATTGGCCCTGTTATATTCCAAAGAGCCTGTAGTAGTTATTTAACTTTCCTGAACCTTGTTTTACTCACTTCTTAAAATGGAGACAGCCGACAGGGTTGGTGCTGAACTAATGAAGTAAAATCCAGAAATGACCAGCGCTGGACTGGTTCATAGTCACCACAAAGGCGTAGAGCTGACCCTTTTGTCCCTCATCTTGGTTAGGTCTCCTCATTATGTGGTCCTGTTGGCTCTGAGTTCTAGCGTGTAGTGTCCACCAGGGTTGTGTTGTGTTGGCTCTGAGGTGGCACAGAGAATGTCCCTGTCCTCGCGGGCGTGTGATGGTGAGCTGCTGGTCCTGGAATCCTCGGCGTCACACTGGGCTGCCGGCTGGGAGAATGACTGAGAGTGGAAAGTCAGCTGCTGCAGCCCCATACGCTGGAGCCAAGGCAGCACCTTTGGTGGGAAGCTGTAGGGGGGGGGTCTAAAGAAATCAAGAAGGGGAGACCTAGCCACAGTGGCTCATGCCTGTAATCCCAGCACTTTGGGAGGCTAAGGCAGGAGGATTGTTTGAGTCTGGGAGTTTGAGGCCAGCCTAGGCAACATGGGGAGACCTCATCTCTACAAAAAAAAACTTAGCCAGGTATGGTGACTCACACCTGTAGGCCCAGCTACTCGGCAGGCTGAGGCAGGAGGATCACTTGATCCCAGGAGTTCGAGCCTGCAGTGAGCTATGATCTCGCCACTGTACTCCAGCTTTGGCGACGGAGTGGAACTCTGTCTCTTAAACAAACAAAAAAAAAAGACTGTGGCAGGGAGAAAATAGTCCACTGTGTGTTTGGCCCTTACTCTGAATGGCAGTTCCTCAGCTCCCGGCTAGGTATATTTTTTGTCTCCCTTACCCTCAAAGTTCTAGGATTAATGTGCTACTTCTCTATTTCCTACTGTTCTCTGTCTCCCCACACTCCTTACCTGCCCAACCCATCAGCAGTCTGAGAAATACTCTGGTAGAAGAAAAAACATCACTGCCAGCACAAACAAAAAGGAAAGGAAAAAATCAGAGGGAAAGATTTTGATGCCAGGAAGCTATAGAATTGGGTAGAAATATAACAGTAATGACCATGATGAAATAACAGGCTACAAGGTTTATTTTTAAGCCAATAGGCCAGACTGTTGGTGAAGATGAAGTACCTGGCAGTTATTCTTGCTTTTCTTCTTGAGGGGCAGAAAGGAATAGAGAGGATGGTAGGGCAAAGTGCTGGAAAATGAGGCAGGCAGGGGGTTGTTATGGAATCCCGTGCCTTGATCCCAAGGTATGAAGTGAGCGGGAACCTATTGGCTAAACAGATAGTGAGGATGAAACTTAATGAAGTCGTGGATCCTGGTCCCTGCAGCACATGCAAGATGTAAAAGCAATGTCACATGTAGTCATGGAGCGATGGGAAGACCAGACAAAGACACCAGTTGAGTCGATCAGATGGGGCTTACTTACCTCAAGGAACCAGAAGGAAGTCAGAACAGTGAGAAGAGCTGATGGATTAGCAGCATTCCCCAGGCAGGTGAAGGAGAACTGTGGACCCCAAAATCTTCCCCAGTGGAAGGGGGAAGATGACAGAGGGTCATGTCTGCGGGAGGAAGGTTCATGGGCTTCTGAAAGACTGTACTCTCTTCTTTCTCTTTCTCTTTCTGAAAGGCTGTGGCAGTTGTGCATGTAGGCTTGTCTGGACATGGTCTGGGACCCAGCTCAGCTGGGCCACGTGCACCTTGTCATGCTCAGAGTTCTATACATAGGTGATAAGATTGCAGGGGATAGTATGGTTGACTTAAGTCTGAACTTAGTCTTGATTTATAGGCCTTCGTCTCCCTAGGTTCATACAGACTGGTCTTAATATGTTCTGAATTTAGTGCGACAGAAGCAGAGTAGGGTTTGGTCCCCCAGGAGCCTCTGGATCTCAAACAGATGAGCCCTTAGATCCACTGCAGTAAGTATCTCGCACAGACACAGTGGCAACTCCTGCCTGGTTCTTGAAGGGATGCTCAGGAACCCCACAAGGCATGGTCTCAGCCAGCTCCCTGGGCCTAGGTGTGCAGCCCTTCCCAGAGGCTCCTTGGGGCCAGCTCTAGGGTGCAGAGCCATGTGGCTGAGATGTCAGAGGTCTGCCTGGCCCTTTGCCTGGTCTCTCTCAGATGGCCAGCGGCTCTGTTGTTAGTGGTTGACCATATAGAGGGCCAACAGGCATTGACCTTGGTTTAAGTCACTCTTCGTTCCCTTTCATCATGCTGCCAGGCATCTCTGCTATCGAACTAAATTCTGTTCGGAAAAGTGTATTCTGTGGAATGATGATAGCCACGGCAATAATATTAATAATGCCTTTTATCAGTTGCTGCGCTTTCTTCTTTGCAAAGCACCTTTAATGACTTTATCTCTCTTCCCCTCACAGCCTTCCCTAAGGGGGTACAGGTCCATAATCCCATATCTGTGATAATGAAGTCTGAAAAGCTCTGAAAACTAAAAGGCTTTTTGTAAGTTTGCAGCAAACTCACTTAGTGGCAAAACCTGAATTGAACTGACGTGAGGCTATATTTATCCTGCTTAGTTTGAATATTCATATGTTTTGCTGCAAAAATATTAATGTGTTTGATTACAGAGTGCTGCCCTAGACTCTGCCGGGGTTGTTAAACACTATAGGCACTAGAGTACCTTTCTAAAATCTGAACAATTCTGATTTCTGAAGCACCCGAGGGTTTTGGATAAGGGATTATGGGCCATTATTGGCCCTGATTGACAGATGAGGAAGATGAGATTTGGAGCAAGTAAGTGACTTGCTTATGGCCACGCAGCTATAAATGGGTAGAGCCAGGCACTCAGCTTGCCTTCTAATTCACGGTCCTGCGTGCTCTGCACCAGGCCATATAAGAACATGGGCATTGCTCTTCTGGGTCAGATCCATCTGACCTAGTCTTTGGTTGCCAACACTACGCCTAAGATACCACTGTTGGAGGCTACAACCATCTTCCTTGACGTCAATCCTAAAGGTCAGGTGTATACCAGCTTCTTTTAGTAGCTATTTGTGGCTGCTCTGTCATTCACAGATTTGCCCAAATTCTTTTTGAATCCATTTCTATTTCCAGGAAGCTTCCTTTTTGGGGTGATGAATGACTTAGGTTTATAACCTCTTGGGCTCCTGGAAATCTGGTCTTTTGGAGAGGTGGTGGTTGTGAAGCTGGGAATATGGCAGAAGGCTTTGTGGTGGTGAGCCCAGCCCGCGTGGAAGCCAGG